CATTCAGCAGCCTTGTTTTGGCTTAAATCATCCTCGCTTAGCGTTCAATTTAGAAAAAGGGCATTTATCTCAGTCTTTGCAACTGATGGCACTTCAGAGCTATTTGCATCATGGTTTTATGATTCGTATCTCTTCTTATTTCATGTTTTTATCTGACCATTGACTGACAGGCACAAGCAAAGGCGGCCACTGCAAACTCAGAGAAAGCCAAGCAAGCTGAGGTTCGTATTCTCGGAACTGGACTGGAACTAGCTTGTAATGGAGGCCCATGAGGGGGAATAGCATTAAAAAAGAGATGAATGTCATTTGCACGTGAAAAGACTCACCGCATTAGTCTCGGTTGCAGGCTAGTTCCAGTGCAACAGTGAAATTAATACTGAATACGAATACGGTCTATTAATGGCGCAATCCAACAAATGATTATTGTCAGGAATGAATTTAGTTTACATTCTGATACTAGTCCCCTACCCCACCCAAATCCATAGGCTTACGTTTAGATTTAGCTCTTTTTCAATAGGAGTCTTCCGATTATAAGCCCCCTATTGGCGAGCAGGGTTTGTATTTTATGTCTGTACAGTATGTGCAGACGCTCGTGAGTTTTATATCGTTGTGTTCAGTGATATTTATCATGCGGTTCTCTTGAACGCACGTTAAACGGTTCAGACACTCCTTCCATATACACACTCACGCACTTTCGAAACGCTATATTCCTTCCGATAATGCCTTCCACGATAGTAAACGGAAAGCCTGTCTCCCACAAATAAGTCTACTGATCGGAAGAGCCTTTTGCACAAATGTAAGCACAGGGCTTATTTCAAAATCTTGTGGCATTTTGTCTTTATCAAGTTGTATTGTCTCCAGTACAGTGTACTTGCAAGGACGATGGAACCCCATAAATCCGGCGACCAGGGATGAATTTTGGTGGTTACTATACTAGCGGGCTGTTTTTCGTGATTGCAGAGTTTAACAGGTGCCTTTTGATAACGTTTTATCGTTTTTCTTCATCTTAGATTGCAGCTTTGCAGGCTCAGCTTCAAGCGCTCCGAGACATGGCAGGGGTTGGTATAAACTTGATATAAATCTTCTGTTTGTATTTGATTGTTTACTGGCAATCTTGTTTGTTTTGACAAGTACGGCACGTGAGAATTAACGCTGTGAATAACCACTTCATGTCTTTGCATGGATTTGAAATGAATGTAACTCTGATTGAATCCTCAATCTTGTTTTCCAGGAATCTGACAAAGCAGGCTCCCCTAAGCCAGCTAAAGGTTAGTAAACAAGAATTTCATATTAGCCGGCAGTTCGCCATTAGTTGTGATAGTTACTTATCCGCCACATACATCATTTCATCAATATCCTTTGGTTTGCGCTGTTTTCTTTCTTTTTTCTTTTTTTTTTTTTTTTTTGACCGGAACTAATGTTTCACTATTTGCGTACATTCGACTTTCCTCATATTTCATCAGTAGTTGTGTTTGTTACAAGCACGGGTTATTTTGTATTTAAACCGTTGAAATATTTGCTTATTTATAGCGATTACGGCATTCTTTTTCTAACTATGGCATGTCACAATGATCTTGGTTCACCAGCTTCTGGGCCCCTTGAAGTATCTTACTGGTGTTACTGTGTTCAGGGGGTCATGTGACATGCTACAGTAATCCCATGAAGCATCTTGGGCCTGCAGTCCTACAGTGGAGACTGTCGGGATAGTATGTCTTCACACAGAGTATCATTAAATAGGAATTTCCAAAATAAATAAATAAATA